ACTAGTATTTACAGAAATGTGAACTAAAATAAGCTACTTTTTGCCTAGTAAATGAACAAAAAAAATTAAAAGATTGATATTGTCCGATGTTAAGGATTTAGAGAACGTGACACTCTGAAGCTCCATTGGTGGTAAGAAAATAACTGAAGCTTCCTTGAAGACAATTTAGCAGAATCTATCATATCAATAATGCATGTGTCCTTTATTTAGTAATTCCACTGCTACCAATCCACTGTACAGATATACTCTTTCTTCCCTACCACCCACTTTTTTATGCAGAAGAATTGTAACATTGTTTAAAGTAAAAAGTTTGAAATAACCCAAATGAACAACAGACCAGTGATTATGGTACATTCTTATCATGTTAATATTATGAAGTCACTGTTTAAGAACACATAACTGTGTATTAAGGAATAAAGACAGTACATATAGAATATGATTCCTTTTATGTAAAAACGAAAACAAAAAATACTAGCATCAACCATAGAAACCTTTTAGGATTGTGTGAGGTCACAAGTAAAGTGTGAAGTTATAAAGGATCAGTTAAAGGTAACTCTGAGGTTTCAAGCCTGAGTGCTGGGAAAATGGCAGGTTCCATTAAGAGAAAATCATGAGAAGTAAAAACTGATTTACTGTGGAAGGTGATGATGGATTCTGGATGTGCTGAGTTTGAGTTACTGATGCAACACCCAGGATTACTAGTGGATAACTAGGACCAAAAGAAGTTTATAGTATCTGTCATCATTGGAGCTTTAGTACTTAAATGATGATGTGGCCTTGCCTTCAGATTCACGCACTAATGTAGATATTTTCTGACTGATATGCGGGATTTAAGAACTCTGTGTCTCTAAATTCAGTAACTTGTTCAAGGGTCTGTAACCAATCATAGCTTAAAACAATTTATGGGATAAAGACCTCAAAGGGTCCAAGAATACTGTGGAAGTAAGAGCTAGGTGGCGCAACCCTTTATTATATGAATGCTTCTAGATCCTCCTCAGGCTGCCCACTGTTTCAAACTGGCCTTAACTCTCCTTAACAAAGCAGTGATGTGACGCTGGTGGGGCCTTGACTCTCCCTGATCTGTGATGTTTATCATGCCTGAGGTCCCGGCAAAACTTGTGATCCCACACAACAGAGAATAACTTCTTACCTAGTGTGTTTCTTGTCCTGGGCTTCTTTTTCTTAGGACGATTAAGGGGAATGTCATCTATAAAACAGAAAAAACATCAACAGAAAGGGATGCCTAAAATGCAATGTAGAGAATAGTCAGAAGAGAACTTCTAGTAGGGAAGAACTTTTCCTCTTTTCCCTAGGTCTAGCCAACTTCTATACAGTAGGGTAGAAGGCAAAAAATTGACAAGGTCAAAGAGAGCCCAAAGTGTGGCACTAGTAGCGCGCTGCTGGTCCGTAATGTTAGAAACTGTGACACAGATGCAGGGTGCGGCGGTCCACGGCTATAATCCTAGCGCTTTGGGGGCCAAGGCAGGAAAATTGCTTGAGGCCAGGAGTTGGAGACCAGCCTGTGCAACACAGTGAAACCTCATCTTTACAAAAAATTTTTAAAAATTAGCCAGGCATGGTGGTGCCACAGCTGCCTGTAGTCCCAGCTACTCAGGAGGCTGAGGCAGGAGGACCGCCTGAGCCCAGAAGTGTGAGGTTGCAGTGAGCTATGATGATGCCACTACACTCCAGCCTGGGTGACAGAGCGAGACCCTGTCTTTAAAAAAGAAAAAGAAAACTGTGACACAGAAAGTGGGCTCAACAAATATTCATCCGATCCCCTACACTTCCCAGACCCCTTGCACTTAGGTGTGGCTTATGACTGGTTACTGGCCAATAGGCTATGAGCAAAAGCGATGCCTCATTTGGGGGCCAAAACAT